GTCGTCGTCGTCGTCGTCGTCGTCGTCGTCGTCGTCGTCGTCGTCGTAGTAGTAGTAGTAGTAGTAGTAGTACTAGTGGTAGTAGTACTAGTGGTAGTCGTACTGGTGGTAGTAGTACTCGTGATAGCAGTACTAGTGGTAGTAGTTACTAGTGTTAGTAGTTACTAGTGTTAGCAGTTACTAGTTGCTAGTGGCAGTAGTACTAGTGGTAGTACTACTGATGGTGTTTACCCATCTCATATACTTGATTCATACTTGTCTGTTGTAACTAACCTCTACCACCACATCTTAGAAACAAAAGCTGCAGACCTGTTGTTGTCTTTACACCCCCCCTCAAGAGATGTTGTCTCTACCCCTACAAACAAAATCTGCAGCCCCGTTGTTGTTTTTTGACCCCCCCGCAGAACAACACCTCAAAAAAAGTAAAAAAGCAAGACACGGACCAACCCAAGACTTAAGTGACACAACTACAACAAGTCCAGCTACTAGCATCTCTCCAAACCTTCAACCCTATCCCTAACAGTGTCTCTTTGAAATCCCTGACTTGCAACCTGTGACCATTGATCTATAAAATATAGTTCTCTTGTGCGTTCTGCAACTGACTTAAAGCAACACTTGTTTATTTCTGTGGTGGCTTAACTTCACTCAAAATGCAACTTCACTCCTCATTAGACATACCAAAAGGATCTTTGAGAGACTTCCACAAAAGGGGTATTCAACTTGCCTGAATGCGATGGTTCCCTTGGTCGCACACAAAGAGGGCCTCAGTCCAAATGATCCCCGCTGGCCTGCTGGCCTTGAATTGCCAGGTGGATCCATATTAATATAAAGTAAGAATGAAGTCACCGAAAAGTACCGAATACATGGTTGCTACTATGGTTGCTCCACGGATATGATTTTGTCTGATGCGGGTAGGGTAATTAACTATCCATCATTATGATTGCGCAGCTTGGCAACACGTTCGCTGGGAAATCCAAAATGCTGGATGTTGCTCCAGCCCTTCTGTGGCCAACTCTGGGAATATGGTTGATTGATTGTCTTGACACCTTTCAGTCTTCAATCCTACTATTCCTGTGACTTGGAGGCACATCAGGCTGGGTTGCAAACATTTTCATCGTTTACAGCGATGCCGACTGGATAGTGGAAAAAGCCGTCCTGCCAGGCATAAATGTTTCAGCAGCTTATACCTTACGAGCTTCACATCTGATTCTCATATGTCTTGGTCATCTGATCAAATAGTTTCTCATGTTTTTTCCACCTACTTGTGGCCACAAAGGGTCGGCTCAGCCAGGATCACCCTCCTATTCTGCCCAGAACCTATAAGCCTTAATAAGCACCTGCCAAGTGCATTTTCGTTGTAAACCCCAGTCGTGTCGTTTGACCCGAGTACCAAAAAGATGCGTTCTCATCTGTTCACAGAGATTTCAACTGGGGATGCATCGATCGTCCCTCAAAGCTGTCCTTCTTCCCACGGACGCCGAAGGAACGGAGGAAGCTGCCCTTCCCGTCAAAAACCTGCCAAAAGGTTGGAGCACCATGCTAGTAAAGAACCTTGGGCCAACATGCAAATGTCCGTCACCTGTCTTACGTTGTTTTACGCATCATCAGAATCGACAAGCATCTGCGTGCGAATTCCAACCTGGATGCGATTGTTCCCATCGGAACTGAGCAAGGCAAACGAGGTCGAAAGCGCCGCAACAGACCAAGCTTATTTCAGGTTGCATATGGATGCTGAGTGAAGTTTGTATCTATGCCATAACCTGCACGCAAAGAAACGTAAACAATTCTGCAAAGGAACTGAGTGCAATCAATATCCCAATATGATATTATGGGGAACAACACGCTTTGGGCTGATATGTGCATGGCACTCGGCTGTATTTCCAGGTCCATTGCTTGGCACTAGAAGGCTGGTTAAATACCCCGTTCTCCAAGCTCTCGAATGCAGGCCAATTACAACACGCGGTCAACCAGTGATTCAAACATCTTTTCGGTAAGGAGTCAAACAAGCGGTAGACCTCAAACGCATGGACCAAACACAAGGAGGGGAAGTCGACAATGGCCATTCCCACGTTTTCCGGATCCGAAAGCTCAGACTGCATCGCTACTAGGAGCAAAGGGCCTTACTAGTAGTAACAAGTGCCACGCTACTAGAAACAAGTGCATTGCTACTAGTAACAAGTGCATTACTAGTAGTAACAAGAAATGAGGCTCCCAGCATAAGGATATCACCGGTGCAGGTGATGGTGGCCGCCAAAGGTGCGTCAAACTGCCTGCCGTGCTTCAAACCATGGACAAACATTTGTGCTAGTCTACCTACTTGGGGTGCTGAGACATTGACATTGTGCTACCATTCGGCCAAACTCTCACTGAATCCAATAGTGCAGCCCAGGAACCCATCGCCAAAGCCATATGATCCAAACCTCAAGCGCAAAACTCAGGAGGCATTAACTGGGATGGGTGGTTTGGTGTTTGGGGTAATGTTCCATACCTGGGGTATTTTCAACTTCCCCCAGCTCAGTGAGTGGTCTACTATATACTGATGAAAACAGTGAGCGGCTGGTGGCCCGATGATGCCCAGGTTCCCGTGCTTCTTATGTGCGTGTCAAAACATGCAAAAACCGTCCTGCCCTTAACAGTCTTGTAATGGCATGATGATTAATGTCGATAATAAGATCACCCAATCATATTGTTTGGTCAGCCTCGGGGACTCCAATCATAAACACCTGTCCAAAAACCGCATTGCCAAAATTGCAAAAGATTGACACAACCCCCCCAATTAGTTTGGTCCACTGCTGTTGGTGCAACTTTTCCTTCAATACTATCTGCCTTCCACCCTCCCTTCCACCAATCCCTCATCCTATGGTACCACAAGCCTTGTTGACCTTGTTGACCTTCCATGTGATGGGGGGGCTCATAACATAAATATTTAACCAAACTCAAATGACCCCAACGCATCTCACTGCTTCCTGGACCAATCTCTTCTTGCTCTTGATCTGGCCACAGATCACCCCAAATCACCCAGAATCCAACACCACTCCCAGAAACTCCGTTAGAAGATTCTTAATGTGCCATATCATATCCCACAAAATAACTGGTTCAAGCACCGAAAAGGCTTTCAAACATCCCTCTATTCATGACCCCCCCCATAGTTTATGAATTGCCTAATCAATCATTTAATAATCAATTCACCACCTAATTGTTTTAGTCTTGGAGACCCCTCTTCATGAAGAGAGTTAGTCTGGGGGATCCCTCCTCGTGAAGAAATTTAGTCTTTCGGGCCTCTGCTCATGAAGAGATTTACTCTTGGTGACCACTCCTGATTGACTGCACCAATTAAAATGGAATTACACTTTTCTGACCTCCCCAAATAACAAACCTTATGGGGGTGTTTATGAATCCGGTCTCGACATTATAACTTTAATTGTGCATGTCTAATTATATAGATTGTATAGGGGATGTTGAATAATATTCTATAATATTGGTGGCACCCCATGGAAAGTTCCGAAAACAACATCGATGTAAGAAACACACTCTTGCGGCAGCCTGTGCTACGGTTGGTTGAATACCGCAGTTGTATATGCCCTGAGCTTCCCCGGCTCTCGAATGAACTTGAAGCCGTCCATGTCCAAAATCTGGCAGAAGCGTTGCCATTTTCGGCAAGGGCCCAAATCAAACCCAACAATACTACGCCACTACGCTAAGGACAGCTCCAAGCACCTTCAAAGGGCCTTACGCCTTGCAGTGGAAAGACATGTCCAAACGTGTTCCATGGTGTCCTTCTGCTTCCGCATGTCTTTCGTCTTCTTTTCGTCTGCATCCACGTGGTACTCTCGTCACAAGCGCGAGACAGCTTCTGGAGGAGCTCCTAGGCTACGGCTCCGCCGAGCAAGCGGTGCCAACTTATAATGGGCAGCACTGAAGCCAAAGCCCTTCTCCAACCTGGACGAGGCACCCAAAGACCGAAGGATTTCGAGTAGGCTTGACGGGGTTGCCTCTAAACATTTCTGAAGACGTTTCACCTTCACAGGGGTTGCATGGGATTGCGGCATGTTAGAAGACTTGAAGAAAAGAGGATGATAGAGGGATACCCACGACACAAACATCACTACCAGGGGTAAGTCCAGGCAGCTCCAGCATCGTCCGCAAACAAAGCTCTTCCCTCCATGGCAGGGTTACGACTTGCACTCCCACTGGCAATCCAAGGGAATCCTGCACTGCCCTCTTAGCCATTCGCGTCACATCAGGATCTTGTGTGCCGGGATCATACGGGACCAAGTCACTGTCCTTCACTAAGCTGACCGTGACCACCCCAGCTGGCATGTCAAGCAAATTGAACACACGTGTGGTAACAACGTTGCTCACCTTGGTCGTCAGTTGGCCAAAAGGTCGGTTGGAATTTCTGTAGGGGAAGGCCAAATCTAACGGAAACCACAATTTAAAGAAAAAACACAAGCACACCTTAAGTGTGTGTATATACTATATACACACACTGCATAATATATATACACTGTATAGTATGTATATATATAATGTGTATATTATATAGTCATGGTCAGTCACGGCATTCTGCACTTCTTCGACATGAAGAGCAGGCGTAGCCGACACTGGACAAAGCAAAGCGTCCAAACCAGCAGCTTGCCATGCGTTGTAAAAGCGCTCACGCATTGCATCACGCTTCCCATACAACTGTTCATAGCCCAAGCTACTTCCGGCCATTGATCCGCCATGATGGATGTCTTTGGAGTCGTATGCTTCCTTCGGTCTAAACATTCCAATGAGATCAGGATGTGTTTCCTCATCTGAGTCTGTCCAAGATGGCATAACTTGGGACCGGATATCTTCTTTGCTCTTCTGCTTTCGGTTCTGCTTGCTGGGATTATAGGGCTCAGCAGAGATGTAGAAGGAAGCATCGAGATCCCAAACCATCTCTCTTGGAAGAACCCCAGAACTATGTGGCTTGAAGTCCACAATCTCATGCCCAAGTGCCTTGAGTGCATTTGTTGACTCCTCCACAGCCCTGCAGACTGCCTTGCAGGGCTTGGGGAAGGTGTACTCCTCCAAGTAGCAGCCAATACGCAGCTTTCTGGAAGAAGAGAACTCGGATGCATCGAAAGGCAAAGGCGGGATTCTGGGCAGGCCCACAGTAAGCCCTTGGCTCAAAAGAAGGGAATACACAAGAGATAAATCCTTGGCAGACTTGGCCATCACACCGGTGGTTGCAGGGACAAAATATTCCCCTGGCCTTGTCAACATGGTGGAGATGCGTCCAACTGTCGGTTTCAATGCGCTGATGCCACAAAATGCTGCCGGTACACGGACTGAGCCACCCACATCGCTGCCAATGCCGAAAGGAGTGGCACCACCTCCAACCAAGGCACCCTCTCCGCAGCTGCTGCCACCAGGGCTTCGCAGGGTGTCCCAGGGGTTCAAGGTATCACCATGAGCTGGGCTGCCTCCTCCGATGGTCATCCCGAGCTGAGACATGGTGCTCTTGGCAAAGGGAATGGCCCCCAGTGCTCGAAATGCCTTCACCAGGTATTCGTCTCGCCCACTCTTCTTGCCAGTCTTCTTTAGGCTCTGCATGCCCATAGTGATCGGAGTTCCCTGGACCATGACATGGTCCTTGACCGTAAAGGGGACCCCGTGCAGCGGGCCCAGGACCTTTCCTGTGCGTTGGAGGTGCTCATCTGCCTCCCGGGCTCTAGCTTCTGCGTCCGGAATCCAGAATGCGACTGCATTGCAAGCATGATGGATCAACTCTGCCCGGGCTTGGTATGTTTTCAAGACTTCCAGTGCAGAAATCTGACCTTTGGCAAGTGCTGCTGCCAGCTCTTCAACTGAAAGCTCCAAAATGGACGACATTGTCTCTCCAGCGCTCCTGCCCTGAGTCAAAATTGTTTGCCCTGGTGTGTGTGTGTGTGTCACCCCCTGTACCAAAGGGTTCAACGCCACTGTTTCCATTACCACCACTCAACGAGGCAGGGGGCATGGCAGCTGTTTCCCTAGCCATGCCGGAAGGGAATGTGGACGCACATTCCTGTACCTGCAACGAGAACTATTTTCAAGCTGTGACGCCACTTTCCACGCTTTGGTTCATTGTCCTTCATGCTACTTCCCCCAAACACAGGTTTCCCTCCACAGCTCTGCAGCAGCTTTAGCAGTCGCTTTGAGTGCCACTGAAAACAAGTTTAAACCATACTGTTGTGCGGACTCATGCACCTTTCCGTTCCTTCACCTTCCTTCTCAACGTGGGAACTGAGTTCACTGAATACCAATGTCAGAGTGTGTTTCGCTCAGCCGTCCCACTCGGGTGCTGAGTGTGATCCCCGTCACTGGGGCGCTGAATTCATGCCGGAAATCGTGTAACTGACCTTCTCCACCTTTCACAGGAACTCACCACTTGATCAACCTTAACTGAATTTACTGCTTCCACGGCCGCCGGGCCAAAAAACGGATTTGACAAGCCGCCGGGCTTAAAAACGGAATTCATCCCGCTCCAGGCAGGTCTCCCTACCCTTCCCCCCCACCGTGTTCTACTCCCTACCTAATTAGGGTAACACAGGGAAATGGTACTCGACACACTTGTGTGTCGGTGCCTTTCCCTCTGTTGTCCCTGTCTAGTCTACTCTACCCGGGCGGTTTAAGACTAAAGTCCCGCTCCCTAGCTATTGCACTGTAATTCGTCTCGGCTAAGTAGTCAGTAATCCTAGAGTGCTAAGTATTCAGACACACACATGGACATACACCCCCTCCCTGCCCCCCCCCTTTCTTTCTTGCGCTTTCCGTCGTTTGTTGGGCTTTCACTCAGGCTTTTTAGGTTGCTCTTGAGGTTCGTTTCCTTACCCCAGTCAAGGGCTAAGTATTCATTTTCCTTTTCTACACCTACCTTTCTCTCTTGCCCTCTTAGCGCTGCTCTTTCTGTGTTTCTTTCTTTTGTTTCTAAGGCTTTTTAGGTATCTATTCAGGTTTTCCACGCGAGCGCCGCCAAGCGGCGCCGTGTGTGTGTCACCCCCTGTACCAAAGGGTTCAATGCCACTGTTTCCATTACCACCACTCAACGAGGCAGGGGGCATGGCAGCTGTTTCCCTAGCCATGCCGGAAGGGAATGTGGACGCACATTCTTGTACCTGCAACGAGAACTATTTTCAAGCTGTGACGCCACTTTCCACGCTTTGGTTCATTGTCCTTCATGCTACTTCCCCCAAACACAGGTTTCCCTCCACAGCTCTGCAGCAGCTTTAGCAGTCGCTTTGAGTGCCACTGAAAACAAGTTTAAACCATACTGTTGTGCGGACTCATGCACCTTTCCGTTCCTTCACCTTCCTTCTCAACGTGGGAACTGAGTTCACTGAATACCAATGTCAGAGTGTGTGGGTGTGGGTGTGGGGCATGTGTTGAATTGCAATCGGGCAACTGTAATTACATTGTTACACAAGTCTGAGGAAACCCTCGTCAGAAATTGGTGTGAGGCAGAAATATTCTGGCTCTGACAAAAATTGTGCTTCAAAATGCAGGTGTTTCTACGCATCACAACCATCTGAGCCTTTGTGAGCAAGAGTGGCTACCACGCAAAGAAAATAGTCCCAGTGATAAACACGATTGAGGAGTCTATCAGTGAGGGCTACATTTCAAGAGGCTTCAAATGTCAGTGTAATGAAACGTCTGCCCTCCAAATGCATCTCGCAATCATTGTGTCACATTCAAGCATTTTGATTGTTTGGTGCCATTTACTATTTGCCTCCTGCAAGTAGTTGTATACCTTGAATCCAATTGTCCACTATATAAAAAGAACGGCTTTGCAACCATGTTCTTAACTTCGATGCACCTGCACTCGGTTGTTTGCGGAGTCACAAACCAACAGCCCTCCTTGCGTCAGCAGAAGAAAATGGATGGGTTTGTCCAGAGTCACGATTGCTATTAGGGTGGAGGCCATGGCTACTAGGTTGGAGCCATCGCTATTAGGGTGGAGGACCTCGCTACTAGGTTGGAGGCCATTACTATTAGACTGCTTTGGAACCATTGGAAGCATTTACAGGTCCAATCATCAAGCTGAACCCCAAACAAAATCTAGGTGCAGCCCAGGATACCGTTTCTAGTGACCACGGGCGTCAAGGCAAAACAAGGCAAACAATTGATGCTGGCAAATAAAAGCATTCATCGTCACCAAATCATGGACATTGACTAAAATTAATCAATCCTCATCAGAAGTAATGAGCAACCGTTGCCCCTGACTGAGGCCGTGGCCGTTCTCAGTAAGGCCAAGCCCTTTGGGAAAAAAGAACTGACCTGGGCCTCGGAGAACCAAATAAAAGCCAAGTGTCCTAACAAAAAGTAGGATTCAAGTAGGGCTGCGTGCCCAACTGAAAGTTTTCCTTCATTATAAATTTCACAAGAAAACATATTGATGGTTTTTAAGCTCTCGATTCATGCGGGCCGAATTCTGTTTTAGGGTGGCCAGTGTTGTGCTCTTGGTAGATGGCTGGTCACGTGTCACCCACAAGATTTAGCGTAGATTAAGAACACTGTACACTCCCTCAAATAATAAAGGAAGCGGAAAGTACCCCTTCGGATTGGGATGACCATTTTCCTTTACAAAACAGGTGGTTTTCCACTTCCATGTTGGTGACTCGGAGTGTAACATGTCGGCAAGAGTTGCACGGTGTCCCACGGATGGGTGAGTAGCCACCTGTTCTCTAAGTAAGTGCTAATTAGAGTTCGATCGACCGGTTCAAAAGCTTCGTTTCCTCAGGATCCCTGGCCACCTCCTTCGCAGCCCACTGTCTGCAGGAACACCAACTCGCGTGTCCTCTGATCAGCAGTCGTTGATCCGCTTGAGTTTTGCATATCCATATTGTGGCATACAAGTCAAATATATATATATATATATATGTGCAGTATTTGTTTTTGTTGATCACCCAGGAATCACAGTGCCTCGGGTTGAACTTCAAGACTTGTAGGCGATGGTTCAGCAAGTCAGAGACCTTAGTTCAGACCCCGGCGTGCAGTGTGAGACACAGTTTGGTCAAATTTCATCACAAGCAAGGCTGGGTACAGGCTGGTCCTGGCAGTTTCGGGAAAGGAATTGGCCAGACAACAGCTCAGCCTTTTCCAAGATGCCCCAATTGATGAAGAGGAGCAGGAGAAGAGCGACAAAATGACAATAAAGGTGATGGTGGTGGTGGTGGTGCTGCTGCTGCTGCTGGTGCTGCTGCTGGTGATGATGATGATGAGGAGGAGGAGGAGGAGGAGCGTGAGCATGGTGAGCATGAGGATGAGGATAGCATGGTATTGTGTGAGTTCGACCACCTTCCTTTTGCCAAAACTCATCCATTCTAACAAACACCGGGCCCCCTCTTTTGGCCAAACCTCTTGAGCTACCCTGCAACAACCTTGTTCTCTCGGTCAGCAACAATGCCACAAGGCCTCAGCTTGGCGCTTGCTCGGCAAGGATGGCAGAAAGAGGACAAATAATGAAGAACCCAAAACATATCAAAAAATGGCCTTGGTTGGTGGCTGGTGGTACTTGGTAGTTGGCAAACCCACAAGTGACCTCTCCTTATCAAGCAAGGCAACTTGTTCAAGGTGTTCTTTGTGAACCTGTCACACCATTCTTTAACATTTGATAGGTGGATTGAGTGTGGAGTTTGGTGAATTCATAAACATTTCAATGCGTTGGCTTTGCCTCATGTTTGACCCCCCATATATCGCATACCCTGCAATTATGCTCCACGTGAAAGGCCGTTATGGCCATCTGGGTGCTACGAGCGTATCGAAGTGGCTAGCGCCTAGCCCTTTGGAGCCATAGGCACCCAAGACCTGGAGCAGAACGGGATGAGAGGAGAAATCGTTCAAAGCAGGAGGATAAATAGCCTTTCTTTAATATATTCTTTTTTGATTGGGGGGGGTAGGCCGCGAGTGGAGGTAGTAGCTAGGTAAGTAGCTAGTAGTAGCTACGAAGCTAGTAGCTACAAGAACGCTACTACTTAGGACGCAGGATAGCTCGGGCTTCTTCAAGGAAACTCACCGGCAGGGGAATCTTCCTTGAAGAAGCGCTCGCACTAATGATTTAGGGAAACTTTAGGTTGGAATGACAATAGCTTAAAACAAGGGCTGAGAAGACATCAACTCGTCGCAATCCATCCATGGTGCAACCAAAACGATGAATGTTTTTGAATGTTGAACTATGAACTGCGTTCAGCCGGAGTTCCAAGATTTCCAAAAGCATCTCATGTTCATATTTGCGTATTACAACACCCACGTGTGAGCCCGCTCAGGTCAAAGAACCTCCCAACAGGGCCTAAACATATAAATTAACTACTTTACTATATAGTTACTATAGACAGAACGTGTATAACTTAGCCAGATTTGATTTAGCTAGGTTTGGCCAAATGAAATTGCTCTCAATGGAATTCTTGCACATGCTAAGCAATAGGTTTGACTTGACTTCAGCCTGGCAAGGGTGAAATTCAGCTTGGAGGAACCCTAGAACCCACAGGGGTGATTCCTTCAATATCAGCTGAGATGTATTAGTTTCCGCTATGCGAGCCTCCTGCGACACGGAATCAAAGATTTGAACGCGGTGATTGCTCTGGTCCACGATGAAGAGGTATCTGCATCACCCAAGACTGGCTTGTCCATGCATTGCCCCTCAACAGTCCCACCTAGCCCAAGCAGAACACGCCGAATGTCCGCTGCGGGTTGCTCAGGAAGTAAGTAGAGGCTTCTCAGTACTTGTCCAAGGATCGGCCCACGGGCTCACGGCACCAAATTATCCATGGAAGCGGGTTGCAAATGTAATATGTAACTCAAATGACACTCTTCGTGGCCCAATTGCAATTTACACTCTTCCTTGCTCTTGTCCATGTCACCACTGGAACTAGGCTGGCCCACCTGCCAGTGTGGTCAAAGGCAACTCCACTTGGATGATGAACACACCTCATTACATCTTGCAGATCGAGTCAGGTTTGAGGGTTGGGACACTTCAATGTGCCGATGGGACATGCTTCCTTCATCTGGTGTAGTGGCACAGCAATTCCGACTGGCCTCATAATTTGTTGTGGAGTGAACTAATCAGCACGATGGATTTGCAACAAGCTTTGCATCCCGTACCCAATGCGGTCGGGCACGTGTGGCTCACCTGGACTTCCTGTCGGAGAAGGCGCTGGGCCAAATGGAGGCTATGAGGCTACAAGTGCTTGAAACCACTTGGTGCGTCTCCATCTTCTCTTACGAACGTTTGGACCCACCAATTTTAGAGACTCTTCTAAGTGATCGGAAGGTTCAATGTCCCAGGTCGTACTGGCCAACCCTAATGGTGATCCGGTTCCCTTGGAACAGAGTAATTACAAGCGTTTGAACATCCGTCCTTCTTAAGTCGCGGCTCCCAGTCTTGCCTATGAAAACAACGAAACGCAAACCTGGTGGCAAATACAAGTCGGTTGGAGGCCATTGACATTAATTAGATTGGAGGCCATCGCTCTTAGGTCTCTTTTTCCATGTCCGCTTTTGCGTGAGGCTTGGCTTGGCGAACTCCTTAGGAGTTACCAGCCCCATTCGCCAATATCCGCCAATAAGGCCTACGACCGTCTGTGGTAGCTTGCGAGATGCTCCGCCACGCTACGGAGAGAAGCCGCCAAGTGTCCGAGTGCTTAAGGCATCAAGCAATGATTTAAACACCTTTCTCTTAAACTCAACTAAGTCATACTAAGTCTATATGTATATAAGTTGAAAGGAAATGCTTTGTGCATGACTCTGAGAGCAGCATCACTTAGCATGAGTGTCTGGACTACAGTGCTCCCTGTGTCCATCAACTCTCAACCAAAACCAAAACGAAGCGCCAGAAGTGGAAACACAAAACATCTTAAGCCCATCTTAAGACACCTGTAGGGTGTACTTGCCGGTGGCCTCACCATGCTCAGCTGTCGTCTTCCAGGTGGAGCGGCTGTATCCCAAGCTTCGCCAAGGCATTCCGCAAGGACTTGCTTCCGCTCGCCATGGAGATATGCACCTGCAATGCACCAATGTTCCACCCGAAATTTTCAACATGCTGTGCAAAAGTTCTTCCACATGGGGCTGGAAAGCATCCCGTTCAAAGAAGAAAACCTAATTTGTTCTCGCCAACATGTAGCAGCTTGATCGCACTCAATCATGTCATCGGTCAGCAGTACAACTGATGCTGCCTGGCCTTGACCCTCCATCTCTCCTAGTTTTGCGTGCTCTTTTTTGATTTTTGTCAAGTCCTTCATGGCTTGATTCCCCTTTCATCGTCCACTAGACTATACTAGTCTTGTGATCGAAAGAACAAAACCAGAAACCTTAGTATTCAGGATTTCACCTCCTGGAATCTTGCAAATGAATGCTATATATTGTTTGCCTGCCGGAACAAGCTCCGAAATGAAGATGTCGTTAGGTACCGTTTTGCAAAACAATCTCAGCAAACACACGGAAGTGCTTACATTTTTGAAGCTCCATTGGAAACCTCGAGAGTCTCAAAAAACCAGAGGCCCGCTGCGTATCGCTGCGTTCTATCCTGCTTTCTCCCCTTTGTCAGTTCTTGTTTGCGTAGAGCTGCCTACTTTCCAACTGTTGCTACTTGGGAACATGGCGGTTTCACTTTTCTAGTTTCTCTCCGTTTTCTCCCTTTCCTGTCTACGCCTTTTGCAGCTGCTGCATCTGTTCCAAGCTCGCAGCAAGGGCACTGCAGCCTTCCTCCGCACGAACCAAGTCGGATTCTTTCAATTTTCAAATGCATCACACATGTTTCCGTTTCTCTAATAGGTTGGAATTTGCACGAAGTCAGTTTGGCAAGAAAACTGCTACCTTGAATTCAGAAGAGCTTGGGATCTTGTCGGTTTGGTTTTAGGTGCACTAGAAAACTGAACATAGACATAGAGGTTAAAAAGGAAGGGAAGGCGTAAGAACAATTGTAAGGCCTCTTAGGCCTCTTTTTCAGTTTCTGAAGTCTGGAGAATTGTAGAAGTCCAAAGGTTAGCGAACTCCATTCCCGAGCTTAGTAGCAAGGGGTGTCAAGCCCGGCGAGGCTGTCAAGTATCCTTCAAAAAAGAGGGCCTTTCTCCCTCTTGGTGACTGGTGAACCTCACTGCTCTCAACAACTGGTAGGGCAACTGTCATTTGCTTTGTTTTGGCGCAATTCTTGTCAGCGGGTCACCGGACAGAAAAAATTTTTTCTGAGGTTTGCTTCAGGTTGTTGAAAAGTCCAAAATGTAATTACTTGTGGCCAAACTTGCCTTGTGCGCACGCCAGTTCTGATGCACCCTGGGACCCTCCAAATCAAATGAATGTTCATCCGATGTACTTTTCCTTACTTAACAACCACCACCTTCCATCTGACAGGGAGTCGCAGCACTGCGCTACAATACGCAGCCGTATTCCAAATACCCTGATAAAACATGTATGACTGGCAAATAAATAATGTAAGGCTCGCACTGATCGGTCTAATTAGTGATTTTGGGTTGGAAATTGTAAAGCAAGATGAACCAATCCCGAGTACCTTAAACACTCCCGACTCCCCTATTAAAAACACGGTGTCGGAAACCCTAAATACGGACTAGATTTGCGTTTGTATGACTCCCCTAAAGCTGCTACTAAGCCGAGTACCAACATGATCGATTTTGCTGTAGTTTTCTGTTCCAAAGACAAGGGAAACGTGCTCGAAATGCAGGCTGCGGTGCGTGCTTAAAAGAACGTGCGGCAAACCTCGTTCCACATCAGTTTTTGATAGTTTTTGGCATCGCCTTTTTTGGTAGTCGAGCAACGCTTTGGCCAAGTGTTTGACCAGATCACCCTTGGCCAAATTTCTGTACTGCCAGCTCCTGACGCAGTGCAGCAGCAGCGTGTTGGCGGACCGATTGAACTGATGTGTGCTTACGACACTCGGTGGCAACAATTTGTCATTGCTTTCCAACAACTATCTGCTTTCTGCGTTCAACCAATTTTGCTGGCTGACCCTTTTGGGCTTACGAGGAAGCTTGCGCGTATACTCGCGCATCGCTTGCTTCACTGCGTGACATTTCACCACAGAAGCAGCGGCGACGCTGGGCCAAGCTTTTGCCCCGTCACTGTACAGCACCTAAGTGGAGACGATGTGTGTATGCATTTTGTAAGGCTATCGCATGAAGGAACGTATAAATATATACATATATAAAAGAACACAGCAGCCGCCCCTTTTTCCCACAATCTTGAGCCAAACATGTCCGGTGAAGTGAAACGTCAATGACTGGATCATGTGATGGCTACATTCATTAAGATTCCTATGACTTGCATGTCAAGTGATACACAGTACTTGGTGACACATCGAATGCAAAGCTTGCCTGCAGAGATGCTCTTTGGTTGTTCATGGACTGCTTCAAGGACTGCTTCCCCTGGCGTGCCAGATGCATCGACCAGGGTGCTTTGCTAGTGGATTAGGGGTGGTGGTTTCACCCCATGTCTCTCTCCTCCCCCTTCACACATTAACAGCTTCAGTGGAAGATGGGTGCCTCGAGAGATTTGGATCCACGACGCCTAAAAGCTCCAAGGCGTGACTCCATTTAGAAACCGGCAACGGCTTCGTGAAGGGATCAGCCTTTTGATGGTCCGTTTTTATATAAAGCAATTTGGCACTACCATTTGCGAACGTCTCGTATAGAGAAGAGAGGTTGATACGATGGTGTTTCGAAACATGTCGGAGCTTGGGGCTATAGCCCTGGCCGCATATGGTTATGACGGCGCTGTTATCCTGGAAACACACCAATTCAATTTCTCTCCTAAATACTTCCTCAACGAATTCGGCAACTGGCAAAGCGTCAAATACGCCGTGGGCAAGTGATATGATCTCGGCCTCTGTGGTCGATCGTGCAGTGGCACCCTGTCGCTTACTGTGCCACGACAGTGGCCAGTAAGACCCCGGTCCTTGCAGACACAGCAAACCACCAGAGGTGCTCTTTGCATCCTCTACCGCGCTTGAGTGGTCCGCGTCGGTATACAAGACCAGTTGCAGGTCTTCCTGACGATCTGCGATTTTGCCCTTCAGGCAGAACGCCTTGGTCTCGAACAGATAGTTCATCAATCTGTGCAAGCGGCGGTCATCGGCACGACTCCACTTCGTGACACGGCGGGTGAGATCCCCTATTGCTTTTACCGTGTCCGGCCTGGCAAGTCTGCCCGCCCAAAGGACTTTCATCAAGACCTTACTAGCATCACTTGCTAGAGCACCGCGCTCCTCCCATTCATTCACTGGAATGGAACCTTCTGGCAAGAACGGAGATGCAGCGCCTTTCAATGGCATCCCTGACAGGTTCATACATTTGGCATGCTGAGTTGATGAAATCTACCATGTCGAAATAAACTTCAGTCACTCCGTTTTCACGTTTGAACAAATGCTTTCTGCCAAGACAACGATCCACTGGGGTCGGTTCTTCTATTTCAAGGTGTTTTTGCAGGTTTTCCCAGAACCCTTTGTGCAAACCTGATGGCCCTGAAAGCAAGATGTCATCAACGTACAATGTGAGGACTAGACCATTTTCAAAGGTCCAATTCGACTGGTTGTCTCTGTCAGCTTTACCTCCCATGAGTCCCATCACTTCACGGAATCTTGCATCCCAGTGGAAACCCGATTCCGGGTGTCCGTATAGCGCTTTCTTCAGGGGCGCTACTGGCATTTTGATGTGAGCGAACTCCTTTGGCACTAACTCTGGAGGGAGTAGCACCCAAGTGTCCACCACAGTTCGCAAGACACTTTGAGTGTATGCACGCACCACGTCCGACTGGGAACTTTCATTTCCTGGAAGTGCACCATAGCTCAAGTTGAAGTTTATGGCCGTGATTCCCGAGGGATTCACTTTGAGTTCCTGCAGGATGGCGATGTTGTTGTCTTGGTCAACAATCTGATCGCCTCTGAACACAATTCTGGCTTTCAACTTTCGCAATTCTGGACTTTCAGCGTGCTTCATGGACAGGATTGTCATGAGACGACCTAGGTTGAATTTACCACCCGACTTCACCAGTTCTTCTTTGGAAATGATTTTATTAACATCCCAAACTTCATTTGCTAGAAGACCATCCAACTCTTTCTTGATAGCTTGATCAGCCCCCGGATACTTTCCCCAATCTCGACGATCAATCAACTGATGAACACCGAAAGGAATCTTATGCGGGACATGTTCTGACTGAACAAACGGACAAGTCGGCATGATTGGGACGGAATCACCATCAGGATACAAGCTGTTCGAGATTGTTTGCGCCATCCTTTCAGTGTAGAAGGCTGACTTCCCTGTGCTTGAACCCTCCAAAGGGCTGTGTTTGAAGTCTTTTGGGTGTTGGCATCGGTATGCACCAAGGTCTTTTGCCAACTTTCTTGATGAGGTTACGACTCTCCATGTCTTCAGATGTGGCTCTCCTTTACTGTCTTTCAAATCAAAGGCACAGCCGTCACAGCATGTCTCATACAAATCATGTTTCTTGACAAACTGCAAAAGCTCGGTCAACATCCAACCTTCGCAATATTTGGGCCATTCGAAAGCAACATGTCCTCCGTTCTGGAGAATTCTCTCGGC